AAAAGGTGATTACTTATCATTTATGTGTCAGGGAAGTAATAACACTGTCTTTATTGCACATGTCAGTGCTCTTGAGTGCTTTTAAAGTACTTTGGAACTTCAAAATATTTTACAGTTTCAGAGAATTAATTAGCTTCCCTGTGGAGGAGCTCAGAAGTGACATTGCTGTTTTGGAGATGGTAAAGGGGTTTGAATTAGTCATCTTTTTAATAAGTTTGCATCAAGCACATACTCTGTGCATGGACCTGACCTGGAAGACATGGGTACATGAACTGATAGACAGAAAGCAAGCTGTATTTATGAGACCACAGGGGCAAGTTAAATTTTAGGGACCCTTTAAACCATAGTAAGAATTCATTGTTTCCTATATGAAACTATCATTAAATTAAAATATATATATAATACTGTTAATATGTTTAACTCACTAGTTCTCCAAATTTTTACAAAATTGGAAAAAGCCGATTCACTTGTCAATATCCTTCAAAGGATTGGGTTGTTCTCTTATTTGCGTGTTGATACTTTCTGCATTAAAATTTATGACTTTATATACAAAACTGGATAAGCATGTGTCATTGCAGTTCATGCACCATCAGGAGTTCGCTATTAAGGGAAGGTCTGATTGCATTTGGGCCGCCTCCCTCTTCATGTGAACCAAGCTACCAGCAATGAAAAGAGCAGGAACCCCCGGAGGAATGGATGTGTGGGCATCACCAGGGCACCCAGCTTTCACGGAGCTCAAGGCTAAACACGGGGCAGCCTTCCTTTGCTGGAGGGTGAGCCCAGTGGCAAGTCTGCTCTACATCCCCTCGCCCAGATGCCAGCTGCAGGCTGCTTTGCAGTGGCTTACTTTTCCCTGGAATACTTCCAGAAAAGGTTTTATGGGGACAATATTTTCCATGCCTAATTTTTTTTTAATTCTATAGAGAATGGGACTTCAAGCTCCTGTCTGAACTTAAGAAATTCTGTGCCTCCCCCAACCAGAGGAAGACATTGTACTTTCCTAGAAACCTTTTAATTGGGAATGCAGTGCAGAATTGAAGGAAGTTCTTCAATATGTAACATACTCACGGTGAAACTCTGTATTCCATTTCTAAAGAAAATAAGAAAACAGCAACAAACCTACCCTATTTCCCTGTATGTCTTTGCAACATTTCTTTTATGTGCAGACAACTTTTACAAAAGACCCAGTGCTGAGGCAGAAGGGCCATGAAGGTGAATATGAAGGTCAGAGTCTCATGACCCTCTCATACTACGTTCCTTCTCCGGTTCACTAATTAAGTTATAGGTAGAGCTTCCAAGAAGCCCTCTTTCTCCTGTTTCAGTTTTTAATTGGATGTCAGCACAAGCAGAGGAAACAGCCAATCAGCTTCTCATATTAAAGACCATATTTTGCTGAGCTGGATGTGATTCCTGGTTGCTACAAAACAAATCTAAGTTTATATCAAAGGTGACAAACTCCATGGCCTGTCATTTATCTTTTTTATAGTATGGGTGACACCAATCGTCAGCAAGTCATGTTGATAACTTGATGAACCAACCAAACCAGAAAGCCTCCAGAAAGCTTATCCAAGCCACAGTCAGAAATCAAGCTTTCTTTCTTTCTTTCTTTCTTTCTTTCTTTCTTTCTTTCTTTCTTTCTTTCTTTCTTTCTTCCTTCCTTCCTTCCTTTCTCTCTCTCTCTTTCTTTCTTTCTTTCTTTTTTCTTTTTCTTTTTTCTGGAGCTGGGGACTGAACCCAGGGCCTTGTGCTTACTGTGCAATCACTCCAACACTGAGATAAATCCCCAACCACAAAGATATTCTTTTGAAGTTTAACTGGATTTATGCATTATGGACATTAGTAAGTGGTAAGTCCTCCCCAAATACTATTTTATTTAAAACACAGCAGCAAGATAGTCACACAGCCAAGAAACTAAAGATTCATACATAAGATTGCATAGTCAACAAGGCCTGGATGTAAGCCAGCTCTATGAGATTCAGAATCTGAACCCTGCTATGTTCTATGTAATCTTGTGCTTCCTGAACTCTTCAACTGAAGTTACACCTCTATCCATGACAATACCCACCTATAGCAGTTCACTGGGGATATTTTATCACAATTTTCTATGAAATAGTTCACTTTTCATTTGTATTCTCTTCCAGCCTTCCACTGCTTATCCAGCAGACTAGTGAGCATCTCTACACATAAACTTTGTGGTATGTTCTCAGCTATCTCCTGAGTTGTGAGATGTAGAATCATTGGCACAGTATCACAAACAAATTTTATACTTCCAACGTGAATGCCAAATTTCTCTGATTAATTACACTAAATTACATACCTGCTATCCATATGTATTTATTTCTGGGTCCTAAAATTTCAATTTAAGTGTTTTAAAAATTGGTAATAATTCAAATCCAGACTAATGAAACCACGTTGTGAAATATTAGCAATACACATCATAGAATATAAGGGTGCTGTATAACATGGGGCTGGTTGGCAGGGCATGCCTGCTCTGGGCATGCAGTGTATAAAAAACCTGGCGTACTTCTTCCCTGCTCAACTTCCTTTCAATGCATCTGCAATAAGAAAGCAGCATTGCAAATGGGGTAATGTTACAGACTTTCGGCATGCTTGAGACAGGTCACTAAATGATAAAGACTTTCTGGTGCATACCCATCTGAAATGGGTTTGCTCTAGGTGCTAGCTTCAACATGTCTGACTCTTCCTCTGCGCATGAGCTCACCAGCTTGGCTTTCTGGCCTGTGGGAATTCAGTAGGGGAGTGAAATGGACATTGGGAACTGATAAATTAAGAACAACGGGAAAGAAAACAGCTGTGTACTGTCACCAAAAGGTCCTGTGAAAATCACTGTCTGGCCTATTTCTTCATAATCTAGAGGTTCCACCACAAGAATCCCCTGTTCCAGGGACATCAGGAAGCACTATTTTTGAAGGAGATGATCTAATAGATAAGCATTCCTTGTAGCCAACAGACTCAGTAGACACAAGCACCGTTGGATATAGCACCTGGAAGAGCCTCACAGGTAAGTGAAATGATAAAATCTATCACCATTCAGTCCCACAAGCGATGGGAGATGAAAGTCTGTGATAGCATAGAGAAAAAGAGAAAAACTGATCTGGCCTGGAGTGGAGGTGAGCAGGAGAGAGATTTGGAAAGACCGAGGTGTTTGTAGAGACTGGAAAGGCAAGTTGCTCAATCTTAAATTCGTTTCTGGTGCTAATCTTATAAATAATTAAAGTCATGGAATAAGAATATGAATAAGAATATTACTGGAACCAGTAATTCTTTTTCTGTCTGTCTTTAACACACACACACACACACACACACACACACACACACACACACACACA